TTTTTTTTTTTTTTTTTTTTTTTTTTTTTTTTTTTAAATCCTATATGGATAATGCCACTGTCTTATGTTCTCAGTAATGGTGCCAGTGGCCGGTACTGGTCAGGTTTACACCTGTTCAGTGGTCACTGGTGGTGGCAGGACCGTCCTGAGCCTGTGGACTTCAACACGACCTTCTCCAACTGGATGAACAACAAGGGCGAGATCAGTGAGCTCAATGGCAGGTGTATGGTGCTGAAAGGATCCAATTGGAAGTGGGAAGACAGGAGATGCCATGACAGCCAGAACAGCCTATGTCAGATTTGTAAGTGGTACATTATATGATATATTGAGAGTAATTTCCAAGTTTTCTGTTTGTGTATCAAAATAGGCCCTCTCCGATGGCGAATGATACTGCAGAGAGCAGTAGACACTGGAGGAGAGTTTGGATTGGCCCTCAGGTGAAGGGAGTTAGTAGTCCCACTTGGGAATGGCAGCGGTTCCTTACTGACGGAGACTGGAATGGGGACGAGAGGCTGCTGACAGCACATGGTGACTGTGTCATTGCCAGGTTTCCTTGGACTCATCAAATGTGGGGATGGATGCCATACTTCTGCCGTCAAAGAATCCAATACAGTCTATGTAAAAAGTGTATGTTGATTACTGGTATTTAATACAACTTCTACTGTCCCCACCCCAACAGAAAAAAATCATAATTTGTCTTTTGAATGAAAAAAAAAAACTACCACAATTTAAGTGCAGTCTATTGTGGTCCATGAATTACTATGACTCCTATCAAAAAACAAGAATACTGTTGAAACTGTGATTTGTTGGTTGTGCCAGTTATAACCTATAATAGTCATAGTGGCTGTGTGATATTCATTGATCTTCAATGCCATTTTTCCATGTATTTCAGCTGTCTGTGGCAGTGGTCAGATGCTGAACCAATCTACAGCCTGTGAGCTGGACCATAACATTCTCAGCAGTAATAGTTCATACCCTGGCAGTGCATTTGATCCAGGTGATCTAAAAGACCGGATGCCCTACCATAATATTTCCCTGGGTTTGACCCCTCCCCCTGATGAGCACTTATATTTGATCAACACAAGTCCAGTGAGGACAGGAGAGGAAGTGACATTTCTGCTGTTTGCAGAGGCGGCATCTGGCGGCAGCTACATCTCAGACATGGGCAGTGGCGGTCAAACTTGGGTGGACATACCAGTGCCCACTGACAATCAGTCACTCCACCAACTCATTCCTACTTGGGTGCACTTACCGTTTGATCCAGCAGATGCTTTGATATCAGCGTTCACGCATACTTTTTCTGAAGCTGGCACGTATGATGTTCAAGCGAAACGCAATGCTTCTGGCGAGTACTCACAATTAGTGGTGGTGACGCGGGTTGTAATACAACACACACTCTGTCTGCCACCGCCAGTCATCATCCGAGGCGGAGGACTGGGTATAAATGCCACCATGCCGTACCACAAGAAGGACAGGATCTCACTGACAGGCAATATCAATATAACCTGCAGTGATGTGAAGAGGTCCAGTTTCCATTGGTCAGTTTATACAGTGGGCCGTGCCCAGGACATCATTGACCAGTCTAATATGCTGCTGCTGCCAGATTCTGTTGCTACATCTAAGCCTCATCTAGACCTCCCTAGGTATACCTTACCTGCTGGAATGTATGTGGCGGAGCTACAGGTGAGTGAGGGAATATGCCCTGATATATTTCAGGGGCGGATTTAGGCCGTCTTCTGGGTCTTCTGCAAGACAATCAGATTTTAAAGTTTATATTGACGGGTTTCTAATTTTTTCTGTTGGAAGATGGTCAAAAATACTAGAGAATAGATCAATAAAGATATTTAGTGTACATTTTACCTTTTCAATGGATTTTATGCCATCTGTATTTTATGTTTTCCCAGGATTTAAAAATACATCTACATAGATTTTTTTTTCGATCATTAGATGGTTATGTCCTGATATTTTTAAAAAATGTGAATTCTCTGATAAGTCAACACCCTGGGCTGCCATATCTTAATAATCCTTTTCCCTAAATTACTTTTTGAAATGCCTGCATGTGCTCTGACTTCCTTTGGTACACAAGTTTGACAAAAGTAAACCTCATCCAATACAAAAGATCATATAGATACCATGGTTTTGTAGAAGGGCATGTAATAAAGATAGTTGAATATACCTTTCCAACATATGATTGGCACAGTTAACTTCTGCCAAACAATTAAGGCTCAAGTCCAAATACAACACGCAGGTCGTGGACATTTGAAAACTGGCCAGGTGGTCACCTCTGTGCGGCTGTAATTGTCACGGAATTTATCTTTTCTGTATTCAGGTCACATTGCACACCAGCACAGACATTGTGATCAGCTTAAACCAGACATGGTTCACAGTGGTGCCATCTACAATTCTGAATGCTGTCATCACAGGGGGCAGCATGGTCACTGTAGGTGAGATATATGGAGTAGTGTTGAAAAAAATAAAGAAGCTTTTATTAATTTATGTGTAGGTTGGTATAAAAAAGCTAACAGTTTAAAGAGGATTGAAAGACTTGGTGTAATTGTCAGTGAAATGTTTTAAATTTGCAGGTTTTTGCCTTGTAAATACAGGGTGTGCTTATTCTGAATAATCACCATGCAGAATCTTTAATTTTGTGTTTTGGTTTTGATCTCTTTCTCATGGCCTTAATGGCAGAATATGTTGACATATAAAAAATGGAGCATATTATTGCAGTGGCATATGCATTAAAGTCTATTCAACTGTCAAAAAAACTGACACTAATAATTTACACTTTTTGTGAAACAGTCCCACAAACTCTGGCAAATACAGCATAATAAATCTTTGTTTGAACGTGTTGTGTCTCTGAAGGTTCAGAACAGGTGATCAGGATCAATGCCTCCCTGTCTGGTGACCCTGATGTCAAAGGGGTAGACACACAGCTCAAGTTCCAGTGGTTTTGTACGTTAGAGAGCCAAGATTTCCCTGAGAACCTCACTGCTGAGACTGGGAGTTCTGGAGGTACCGTACTGAAAGACTGGGTTCCCATGCCTAGACCGATCTAACAGGATCGATCCATCTCCAAGGATTTTCTCGCTAATTTGCTTTTAGTTTAAACGGCTTAGATGTCTGGCACGCCTACTGAAGTGGCTATATGATAGTTAAGTACCCCCTAACAGCTTCAGTGCGAGACATCTAAGCCACTTAAGCTGATAGCAATTGAGCAAGAATTCCTTCCGAGATAGATCGATCCACATTTAGTACAATAGGGTCTGGGGATTTTATGGTCCCATATTAGATAGTCCTTATGATGGTATTCATGGTGTATGGCAGGATTTTTGACCTCCTAGTAACTGACTTTAAATTTATTTTCTAAACAGAGACAGGCTGTCTAGACTCCATGTCCTCCAATAATAAAAATCTAGAAGAAAAAAAGAAATAGGGTGTCCAGAAGAGAGCTGTATGTATGATTACCTGGCTAAGCTCCTGGAGTATAGTATTTTTACAGAATTTTACTGACTAATTTAGCTGTAATGCCTTGATTTTGTGCTAAGAAAAGGGAATAAATAAAGGTTTTCAGAAAATAATTAATTAAAGCAATGATTGTAATTGTTTCCACACAGGCTGCACTGGCCAAGGCTACAGTATTGGTGGGAATTCATCTGTGCTGGAACTGCCCCCAGGAATACTGCCAGCAGGACAGAGCTACGTGTTCAGGGCACTGGTCACCAAGGACGGTCACTCTCCAGCCTCTGCTGACCAGCAGGTCAAAGTCATGGCAGGGGAGCCACCACAGGTTAGTGTGTGTGTGTGTGTGTTTGCGTGCATGTGTGTGAGTGTATGTGTGTGCATGCATGTGTGTATGGGTGCGTGCAAATATGTTAAATTTTAAGAAAAATAGTTTATCCTAACTTTTTCTCCTGTTATGAAGTGAGGACATCCTGCAGACAACAAGAACTGCAGCGATTATCTCATTTACTCCATTCACAAAAATTGAAAAATATGGATTGTGTTTCTTTTTTTTTTTTTTTTTTCAATTTCAATTTATCTCTCCATTTCACAGGTGAGGATTACCTGCAGACAGAATTGCGACACCTACCTGAACCCCAGCCAGCGCCTGTCACTGACCACCAGCTGTGACCGCTGCCTTGACCTGGACACCCTGACCTACACCTGGTCACTGGTCCCCCAGTCACTGACCAACACCAGGCAGGCACTGGACTGGAGGCTGGACACAATGACCGGTGGGAACAAGAAGAACTTGGTGGTCAGAGAGAATGTATTCAGTGCTGATGTGGAGGAGACTTATAGTTTGAGACTGGAGGGTAGGTGTGATATATTTTTTAAATTATTCATTTTTCAATGAATTGACTGATTATTTGATCGATTAAATTGACTGATTCAGCCATTTTTCACTAGCTTTGTGAAAACAGATTAAAATTTTTATTATATCAAGTTGAAGAATCTACAAGTGTACATAAGTATTAATTATGTGAAAAAATAGAATCTGAATGAATTATTTCAATTTGACAATGTTACATTGCACCTTTAATTAAATAAGTGTATTTTTACAAGTTTTCTATGATATATTTTTTATAATATATAAGTCCTAATACTTGAACATTTTCGTTAATATTTTAACCCATGAACACCACAATATTTCCATGCCAAAAGGTACTCTTATTCGTCACATTAATAAGTAAACCATGTCACCTGACATTCCAGCCTACAGCAGGTCCAGCGGGTCAACAGGTCAAACAGAGTATCAGTTCTCCACCAACTCTCCCCCTACCGCTGGTCAGTGCACGGTCAGTCCAAGCCAGGGGACGGTCCTGGTCACCAAGTTCTCCATCCAGTGTACAGGGTTCCTGGACAGCCACCTGCCACTGCACTACGAGTACAGAGCCAAGGTGAACAACAGGGAGGGCTTGCTGTATTCTGGGCTAGAGTCCACCATGCCAGCCAGTTTTCTGCCCCTGGGGGACAAGAGGAGGGGGTATAGATTAGATCTGATGGTCACTGTGAAGGATTCGTTCGGGGCTAGCACCTTCATGGAACTGTTTGCCAAGGTAGAACTCCTTTTTTCATTTTAATTGGAAAGATATAGCACGCATGCATCTAAGATTAAACACTTGGAAAATAATTAATACAATAGTGTAAGGATGCACAATTGTAACTGCTTTTTCATTTTAATTGGGAAGATATATATATGGATACAGGCCAGTAGCCAGCATATTCAAAGGGAGGGGCTGTCTTTTTCTGAAAAAGTGAACTTTTTGCTATGAAACCTTTGTGTACCTAGATCAAATTTTACCCAGAGTTTGAACCCCCCCCCCCCCCACCCCACCCTCTACCACTTAAGGACCTGAAAAATATACATATTTTGTAAAATTTTTGTCTTAAAGGTAGAGGAGGGTCAGATGGACAACACGGCCCTGACTGGCCTGACATCTGGTGAGAACTCCACTCTGAGCACACTACTGCTGTCTGGGGACACTAGCGCTGCCACACAGCTCATCTCTAGTGTCACCTCACTGCTGAACTCACAGAGTGAGAAACAGACCGACACACCAGGGGTGTCCAAGCTAGAGAGACAACAGGTCTGTGATGTGGTTTGTGCTGTGAAAATACTTCTTAATAAATTCATATCAGAATCATATTACTACATTTTTTTTATTTTAGTATTGTTATATTTTAGTTTTCTTTTTTAAAGTTTTGTTTAGATGATTTTGATCTCAAATTTCAAGGTAGTTCCCTTAAGTGACTGAATTGATTAATATCCTTTTGATGTACAAGAACAAGACCATTTTTTCAGTTCAGTTAAAAAATATATATTTGCAGATTTTTTTAAAAAAGCTGAAAGATAGCAATACAAAATTAGTACTACACTTCTCAAACTAGGATTTATATAATAATTATTTAATTTTTGAACCTCTTCTCGATAACAGCTGCGTACCAGTCTGGTGGAGTCCCTGCTGACTGTTGAAGTGGAGACTGTGGAGTCTCTCCAGCAGACGTCAGCTGCCCTAGAGAGTATCACGCAGGTGACGGAGGAGCTGAGCGCAGAGGCTCAGGTCAGTGCCGCCACCGCCTGCAAGGAGCTGTCCGCCTTCCTGACCAGTGAGGCTGGTGCTGAGCTGGACACCAAGACACTGGAGGACACAGCTGGGTAACTGACTGGACTGTTGTGCACAGATTGTTTATTTATTTATGAATTCATTTTTTAATCAGTCTATCTAGAACCATCTGCATGATTTTATAGATTTATATGCATTTTAAGAATTGACATTAGCAAAGTTTAAAAGTCACATTTATATTTTATTTTTGATAACTTCAAAGATAGTATATATTTATTTCATTGTTTTATTCCAGTATGATAGTGTCAGGTCTGTCCAATGTGATGACAGCTGCCACTCCACTGGTCAGCAGTGTCAATGGCTCTCAGGGTGACACAAGACCGTCTGGTGACATTTCACAGGAAGATCTCGAATTGGTTAGGAAATATTACAAACCATTATGCTCCTTGTCTGAAAGCAGGCCAAAATGCTTAAGTACAAGCTGCCTGTATAATGTCATAATATAACTTTTTGTTTTGTGTTGTGTGTAAAATATCTCAGATACTGTTTTTGAATTAATATAGTTTTCATGAACTTTCATGTTACTGCTAGACTATGTTTAATTACTTAAGTCAATATTAGGTCTAACTATTACGCCTTATTTTTTAAAGTTTGCTGAATGTGAAGTACATTTTTTTTTTTCTAAACCGAAGTGAAAATGAATTTTTCCTTGTCCAGAGTAAGAATGTCACCCTGGCAACAATGACAGCCCTGCAGGATGTCAAGTCGGCTGTCCTGAGGACTAAAGTGACCGGTGAGGAACCCACTGTGGTCAGTACAGATTCTCTTAGCATGGCACTCAGCAAGGAGACTCCACAGGATCTTATGGGTAACTTAACTTTACACATAAGGCTGGTCTGCAGAATTTAATATCATATCTTAAATCAGATTTTTTCTGTGCTTATCAAAAATTTTAATAGGTGAATTTGATAGCCTGAGTTAATACATAAATACAACTTTGTTGACTGTCAAATATGAAGTAATCCAGCTGAAGCTTGTTATTAAAGATTCAGTTTTGGTTTATGATAAACATCATTTATCAGATATGTTTTTCTTTTGATAAGATTGACTTCATAGTTATCTTAACTGATCTGTGAGATTGTATCTTTATTTTAAGAGAATAATTAAAAATAAAATGAAAGATAAAAAGTTGAAAGAAATTATTAAAATTGGAAAAATTAAAAAGATATAATGGAAGTATTCAGCAATCTGATGTATGGTGTTTATTTTTATAATACCTGGTAGGAGGGACAGTTACAGATTCAGGTTCATCCAGCACTGATGTTTCCTCTACCTCCAGAGTGGAATTTCCCCCTAGCCTGCCCCTGAACACTAGCCTTATTGATGAAGTGGACATTGAGGTGTCAGCTGATTTCTTCTTCTTAGATAGAGCATGTGCTTTGTTCTGTATAAGTAAATGGAAAACATAGTTTTGTCTTGTGTGTGTGTATATGTGGTTTTATATGCTCTTTTACCTCCTTTCTGTTTGTGGACACACCTGCATGTACAGAGTGTGCTCTCATCAGGAAAAAAAGGAAGTGCATTTTACTTATTTTATGTGTTTTTTCTTTGTCAGTTGGTAAAATTCAAGAGGAACCCTTTCACCTGGGCCAACAACAGCTACAAAGTGACGTCTGCCGTCTCTCAAATGGAACTCAAATCGGACGGCAGCACTCTGACCGTGGAGAACCTTGACCAGCCAATCAGCATCTTTGTTCCTGTGACAGATGGTACAGCTCAACCAATCAACATGACTGTTACAAAAGATGGGCTAAGCATGGTGAACTTTGAGGTTACTGATGATGAGTCCACTGTGGTTCTGTATCTGGAGTTTGATAACAGTAGCTTTACTGATGTGGATAAGGAAGAGGAAGATGCTATGTTGATAGTGAGCCTGATGCAGAACTCAAGTCAGAGTGACTTAACTCAGAACACATCCAGCTGGGAAGTCTTGAAGGTGTTCCAAATCCCAATAAGGTTTGCATGTCATATTATATATAAATCTCCAAGATCCTTGTCCAATAGGCATAAATGGATCAAGTCATCTTATAATGTGGAATTTACCTTTTTTTGATACAGTTATTTTATCATCTGTATAGGTTTGATCATAGAACCATGCCTCTGTCAAATTTTAACTATGTTGTGGTTGGAGAATTTTAACAAAATCATAACTCATAAAGTGAAACCAAGCAAATTACAAGAAAAATATACTGCAGCTCACTTTAATCTTTCCTCTATGCCTCCACATCAACTTTCTCCACAACGCACAACTTTCTCTGCTTACAGAAACCTCAGCTCAACCTCTGGGCATTACTTGCTGTCTGCTTCTGTGCCTCACCTCAACCTCTCCTCCTCCTCCTCCTCCTCCCTGTCTGCTGTCTTCTCCCTGAACTCTACCAGCCTCTCAGCTCTGCCTGTGCTACGCGTGTCTAACTTCCAGTCCCGCTGCTTGTACTGGGACCAGGCTGCTGAGCACTGGGAGGGTAATGGCTGCCAGGTAAACCAGGCTGATGTGAAGAAGTTATTCCTGTTGTTATATCTTTTTTTTTTTTTTTTTTTCAAAACTTGATGTACAAATGAATAATTATATATATTTGTGATTTTTTTCCAGCATTTTGTGTAAAAGTTGCATAATTCTGACTTGCTCCTTTATTATCATTTTATTCTTTTCTAAGTACCCTTCAATATGGAGAGAAACCAACAAAATTTAAGTGACATAAAACGGGCATGTATATAAATATATATTACACAAAAGTGTGTGTCAGGAAAGTAACTAAATATTTTAAAAATTTTATTTATTTATTTATTTATTTGTGTGTGTGTGTTTGTGAAATGACCCATGATATAAATTTAAAGAAAACTATTTGCTTCACGTAGGTGGGTCCCCTCACCAATCCCTCTCTGACTCACTGCCAGTGTTCTCACCTCACGGCATTCGCCAGCGGCTGGCTCATCATGCCCAACACCTTCAACTTCCTGGAGACCGTTGCCAAGTTTGCCCAGCTGTCCGAGAACCCCGTGGTCACCATATTTGTCGCCAGCATCCTTGGCGTCTATCTCCTTCTGCTGCTCTGGGCACGGAGGATTGATAGAAACAACAAGGAGAAGGTTAGCAGTCTGTGAGGTTGACACTGGTCTTGATTGAGATGTGTAAGAAGGCACAGTCCAATGCTGCATCTGTTCTTATGGCAGCCCACAAATATTTTTACTTGTGGACTCTTAAATAATCAAATGCCTAATGGCTTGTTTTCAAGTTGAGCTTTTAAAGTGAATTTGTTTCATTTCAAGAAGTCTGTGTGGTCTTGTATCTCTGAGTTGACAAATGGCTGTACATGTCATGTTTTTATGCCATTTTGTACATTGATGCTTGATTTATTTGTAACGTGATATTATCTTCAGGCCATGGTGATCAGTCTTCCAGACAATGACCCCCTAGCAACCTATACCTACACAGTCAGTGTGTTCACTGGGAGTAGAAGAGGATCTGGAACTTCAGCCAATATCACTATAACTCTCATAGGTAACGACTAGCTAGTACATGTACCTTGTAGTTAAATCTGTAAGCCTACCAAGGGATTTTAAAAAATTCACTAATAAAAGACACTTATTTTTAATTTTTAATTTATCATTTTAAGCAAAAGTAAATTAAAATTCTGTGGACAGATTTCATTCTGCAGGTCCCATGGTCTTATAAAGGTGTTTGCCTGGATGCTGCAGTTCATGAAATTAATCACACTGCTACACACAGAAAAAAAAACTGTACTCCATAGTATGACAATTGTTAGGAAGTGTGCAGTGAAATGTCTGTGGCAGACTTGGCAGAATATTTTCTAAGAACATTGTGCACTCATTTAATAGTTACCCTGGGGCCGGTTTCACAAAGCAGTAGTTAGTTAGAACAACTAACTACTGAACTACCTCGCTAACGAGCAAACTTAGCGATTTTCGAGGGGTGTTTCATGAAGCAGTAGTTAACTCATCGCTAAGTTCAGTCGTAAAGTTCGGTCGTTAGTTCTCTCGTTACTCACCGTAGTCTCGAAACCGTCTACCGGAAGTGGAACTCTTGCGTAAAAGTGTC